CTGCCACGCCTCCTTCTGCCTGTTACATACTTTTAACAAAACCATTATACCCTGAGTTCCCATTTTCAATGGGTTCAGGGTATAAAAATGCCGAGTCCTAGAAGATTTAGTCTGTCCCAGCGGACCCGTAATGCAATTTGGCAACGGAATACCGTCAATTATCTGACGAAGAACGAAAAATCGAAGAGCGCCGCGTTATTATAGAGCAAAGAAGAACCTTAATTGGTGCGTATGAAACAAACCGTGCATGCGTTCAGAAATGTTATTATATTACATGTATCCCTCGTATAAAGCGATAGTTAAAACATAGTTTTCATATAAATTTGGGGGTTACGTTTTAATAGGATTTTTTTCTTTTTATAAAATACATACAAAGTAACAAATGCACATATATTTCAATAGTAAATACTGTCTTATACAATTAAAAACACAAGATATGAATAATGAATGATACATATGAACATACATATTTCAAAATTAAAAAAAAAAAACAAAATTTAAATAATTATGTGCACATAACAAAAATTTAAAAACCAACTAAAACAAATTAAAGGTTTATTCAAAACTTTATTGTTATTCTTTACATATTATAAATATGTGGTACGCAAATTAGTGTTACCTGATTTTAAAATTATGTATTTTCCCCTTCTGGGCACAAACGCGTATTCGAACCCAAAATCGTTCACATAATTCTAAGTTGAGGAAGGCACACGCCCATGCTCATGTCCTATGCTATTATGAGCACCAACGCTTTTATACCCTTCCCACAAATAATAACTAAAACGCAAATATTTTGTTCGAGCTTGGCAAACAGTTTGAAGAGTTCAGTATAGTTCGGTACTCCTCACACAGAAGGGAAGACATGTGTTCTTGCTGCGAAGAAATTTCAATTTTCGTGAGCTGCTGAACAAAGAGAAAGAGAGAGCAAGGGAAACATTTAGCAAAGATTGATCTTATGTTCAACAGTCGACCATCTCGGTCGTAGCACGAACCTAAATATGAGGAGCCGACCAAATACGAACGGTCTGGGAACTAATGCTCGAAAATAAGTGTGCGAAATGCTTTGCAGTACGTGTCCGGTCTATGTGTTGTCTGGTTAGTAGTCTATGCAAAGCGCTTAACCAAAACTGATTCAGAACAAAACAACGGGAGTCGCTCAGAGCGAGATCGAATTTCAATAATTTTACGAATTTCGAATTTCAATGAGTTTAAATTTTTCCACAAACATCGAAAACATCGATATTTGCCTTGGAAAACATCTTCAAATCTATGGTCGCGAACATCGATGCGTTTCCCGCTCTAGCTTTAGCACTGGCACAGACCAAAGAACAGTGGTTGTATGTTTGGTTAATGATTGTGTTCATGGCACCGTAAATGATTCTCATTCACTTCAGTTCACAACTAATGAAATGGAACTACTTTGCTTTTTTGACTTGCTTGTAATGACGTCACAAATGTTGACATGCGCAGTAACATCGCAAAGGGAAAGACAATGTGAATGACGGAATGAAAAAAAACTAATATACATATACGTATATACATACGTATGTGTATGTACATATGTATATTTTCACATACATAAATAAGAATACATACATATGTATTTGAAAGATTTCGCTCTTTGTTTGGTGAAGAACATTTTGCAACGTAACGATAAAAATATATATAATTTTTTTTTAAATATCGAAAAATCATTGAAGACACCAACGCATCCTAAAAATGTGAAATGCAACCGACAATTGTAAGTTGCGCCGAAAGGTATGCACTTAGATCATTCGTGGAAAATCGATAAGTCAAGTTTATTTAATGTATATATGTATGTACATACATACATATGTATGTTGAAACTAACGTTTGAAGGTGTGAAAAGTCGAGCTTAAAACAATGTAAAACATAGAAAGTCGAAAAATTGTGCATACAAGTGTGAAATATATACTAGCTGACCCGGCAACAATTGCTTTGCCAGATCCATTATTTCTAGGGAAGTAAGTACAAAATAACTTAAATACCAAATAACTAATTTACTATAGTCAAAAGCGTTGTAAGCAATGAGGTATGCTTTATCCCGATTGGCTCATTTTAAAATTCAAGGACGTGGCAGTGCGGGCAATGCTTGTCCAATGTGCCAATGACCACTTTGGAATGAGCATAATATTCAACATCAGGCTCATATTGAAATGTTAGACGAAGAAATGAATGTGATGTAAATGCTCGATTTACTTGTTAACTTTGTCGGTTAAATACTTTACGTAGCTGCGCGCTTCTGTTCGTTCTAATTGTCCTTGCTGGTTACGCTCATCTCGTGCTTCTTGCAATTGTGATGCACATAACTGCGCCATGCACACACGAACATCTGCATTGCTTTGTTGCCTTTCTTCATCTGATCTTTGTGCTCTTCTATCTTGCATGCCTCTAGATTTGAAAGTTGGACGACTCAAATTAGCATTCTTGAAGTTGAAGAACTGTTTGGTGATAATCAGTGACGATTCGTATTTGATTGCTCATTATTTGTCTACCTTTTATACTTAAAAAACATGATTATTTATTAATCATGTTCACTTATTATTAAAGTGTGCATGAACAATTGTTTTTCATGATAGCATGACCGAAAACTGTCACTGTTATCAAGTCTTCTGGGTAAAGTCTCAATGACAATGCAAAGATCCTCAATAGCAATCAATGCATCATTGTACATTGCGTCACTGAATGATATCGTAAAACCGTTGTGTCAAAAAAAAAAAATAAATAAATAAAAGTGAATGTGAAGTGAAATGGTCCATCCTTTAAAATTAGGGCCATAAAAAATAGATGTTGGCCGATTCTCAGACCTCCCCGAGCTGCACACATAATTTCGCGTGAATCAGTCGGTCCATTTTGGAAAAGTTTGGCAACAAATACCGCGACACGAGAATTTTATAAATAAGATACATATATACATATATAGGTAAAAATTCATAAACTTAATATACTCAATAATTTTTCAGATTAACTTCTTGGGAGTGAATCACAGCCAGATAACTAAAAATGCATCTCAATCCACGCCGCAATGATTTTACAGGATTAGGGGCGACCGGAGCTGGAGCCGGAATGGGCGCTGCGGCCGGTGAAAATACTTCTGCCGCAGTAGGACGTCGAAAGTCATTGAACTATCAGGGGCAGCTTTCTTTAAAATCGAATGGAGATGAGTCAACGATGGCAATAGCCGGTCGATTCAGTCCGCATCCGAATGAGATATATTTAGCTCAATCTGGTAAGCTAACAATACCAGTGAACAAATTTGATGATACGCTAATCAATGGCAGTCTCCCGCCACCATCTCCGGCTCCGCATAGCGATTGCTTGCCGACAAGTCAGAGTAAAAATCAAAATCAATCAAATTTTAATAGTAAAATCGGTATTTGCAACAATAAGGCAGCCAATCAACTACAACAGCTCAATCTAGATCATTTTCAACATCACGCCCACTCGCAATGTCATCCGCTGTCGTCATCGAACTCGTCTTCGTCCCTTTGTACAAACAATTCCGTTCTAAGCATGCAACCCGACAGTTCGGCAAGTACTCATTATAAGCAGATCGACAAATATGGTGTTCAGCAGCATTCAACTGCTACACATCCCATGTCACCCAATACAAAGTATCGGTATCGAGATTCGTCACAAAAGCTGAAATTAATGGAAGTAATAAACTTAACAACAGTTGCAACAACAACGTCTTCAGCTGAAATTCAAACTCCGACTACAGCTTCGGTTTCGGCTTTAAACTCTGCTTCGGGTACAGCTTCATCAATTGGACGATATTTTATAACACCCAAGCAAGTGATGCAATGCGATTCATATGGTGGTTATTTGGGCCCAACGGTGCATACACCAGTGAAACGCTATGTTCCAACACCACCCACAGTTAGTGATATATACCCAGACTTGCCGGTAACGTCACCTTTACTGCAATCACAATATGTGAATATACCATATAGTTATCGAGCCAAATGTTGTCCCAATGATCACCAGCAAAGTGAAACTGGCCAGCCACAATCCAGTTACTCGAAAAGTGCTCAGACCTATAATATGGTATCGACATCAACATCATCTACGAGTTGTCCATGCTCGTCCTCATCGCTAATCTCATCGTTTCCAACACCGCTATCTGCAGTTAATGTCTGTTCACCGAATGTTGGACCTAATTCAAAGAATGTTGGAATGTGCAGTAAATTTCGATCAAACGCAACCGATTCACGTCCCATTATCTGTAGTAATTCGGATGGGAGCGAAGCCGTTATAACCATACATTCGGCAATGACTCAGAGTGAATCAGAACGTCAAGGGTTAACCCAAATTCAGAGTGAAGGCACTAGCGCAACATGTTTGCATTGTAATACAACGCGGCGCACAACAGGTGTGCATCAGACAACCCAGACAACTGGGCCAATTAGCCCAGTACCTGTAGGGCTGCCCATGGCTTCGGATCTGGGTAAGCTAAAGCAGCACGATCAAGAAATTTTATTGGCAGCGCAAGAAAATATTATTGCAGTAGATGGAAATTCTTCTGAAATATATTCGATGTCACAACAGCAACAGTTAAAGATCAACGAAAACTTTCACCGTCAAAACCAGCACCCACAGGAAATCTATCAGGCTGCCCAGATTCCTAGCTCTCATCATTTGCAGCAGCTTCAGAATCTCCAGCAACAGCCAGTCCCCGTGCAACAGCATCAGCAGCAACAGCATCAGCAGCAACAGCATCAGCAGCAACAGCATCAGCAGCAACAACAGCATCATCATCAGCAGCAACAGCAGCAGCATCAGCAGCAACAAGTGCAGCACCTTATTCATCGGCATTCATGCAAGAAACGTATAATCATTCATTTAAGAAGAGAAATTTCACGTTTCTTTGGAGTGGAAGCGAGTACTGAAGCAACAGACTTTGCCATCTGGTATGGTCGCCATCGACGTCTGGCAATCAGACGCTTCGGTCCATTGAACAGCAATAACGAGCAAGAATTTAATGTAGACAATGGAAGAGATGGAACAATTATTGAACCAAATGGGAATAGCAATGGCAATAATTACTATACAACCGATCGTCCCGATATATTGCCAGCTCAAGACTCGCAGCATGCGGACGTATCTGTTGGCACTTCTAAATGGCGAAAGTGTTATGCCAGAAACGATTTCAATTCCAATGAATTTGTGGAACGCAAAGCTTCGGTTGCACATATGTTGATGACAGGTGTTAGCTATTTGATCAACGTATTGCAAATGCGATCTGCGAATTTTGGCCATGGTTTCAACATTAACCAACGACGTAATCGTCAATGGTCGCGCAGTTTTGCCCCAAACCATGTGCATGTCAGAGAACTGGAGATGGATGCTGTTGAAGATCGCAACATTAGCATTGCTGATAGCCTAACTGCGTTGATCGATGACGAGATCTTCTTCGATCATCCCTGCGATACCTCTAAATCTTCAGTTAACGAGGAGAACATTGAACAAGCTAACAAACAAAATGGGATCGCAGTTGGTGCTGGTGTTGAGGCCAGCGTTGGTGTTTATATGGCTGAGCGACATCATAATGGTTGGCGCACCTCGGCTCTTAATGGCAATGGAAATGGGACAGATCTTCATTTGATTCCGGATCACATGCCTCTCGGCGCCAACAACAACAGTAACAATCCTGTTCCATCTGTGTTGCGCGCCAATTTACCATCGAATTTGACATCAACATCAGCTATGAATCGTGGGAACCGAATCACACCCCAATTGCTCGATGGAGTTCTAGAGAACTCGCGTCGTCCACAAAGACAACACATTAAATATATGTCCATTAATGACTTAGACGATCGTTGCGATCATAGGCCCTTTTTTACATACTGGATAAATACGGTGCAAATTGCTGTGCTATTTCTATCAATTGTTTGTTATGGCATCGCACCGATAGGTTTTGGCAACGATCAGAAGACCGGACAGGTGCTGGTTACTAGTTTAAGTCTGCAAACGGTGCAGCACATTGAGCAGCGAAATCTTTGGATAGGTCCTCGCAACAATGATCTTGTCCACATGGGTGCTAAATTTGCGGCCTGCATGCGGCGAGATTTCAAAGTAATGGAAGTTGTAACAAAAACCCGAAGACAGGAGCGTGAAACGGCCTGTTGTATACGGAATGATGATTCCGGCTGCGTGCAAAGCTCACAGGCGGATTGCTCTATACGTGGTCTTTATCCAACAGTAAGCATTAAACACAATTTACAATTTGTTTTAGATTAATAAATGTTTGCATTCGCTTAAACAGAAGTCCATATCCACTTGGAAAAAATGGTCACCCGGCGAATCGGGCCCCGGCGGACGAATATCAGGTTCAGTATGTGGCCTAGATCCGAAATTTTGCGATGCACCCGCATCGATTGCTCCATACGAGTGGCCCGATGATATAACTAAATGGCCGATTTGCCGGAAAACTAATTCATTTTCTCAACGATATCGCTATAAAGATCACACGGCCGAGCATATGGTCTGTGAAGTGATCGGTCATCCTTGCTGTACCGGAGTTTATGGGGAATGTAGGATAACCACACGAGAGTATTGTGATTTCGTTAATGGATATTTTCATGAAGAAGCTTCTCTCTGTTCACAAGTAAATATGAGATATACCTTATAATTTAAAAGATATGTATACATATATATAAATTTTTTTTTTATGCCCTGAACCCATTGAAAATGGGAAATCAGGGCATAAATTTTTGTGAAAAAGTATGTAACAGGCAGAAGAAAGCATCACAGACCCCATAAGGTGTATATATTCTTGATCAGGGCGATGCGCTGAGTAAATATAGCCCTGTCCATCCATCAGCCCGATCTCAGAAGATAAAAGAGCTAGAAAGTTGAAATTTTGCATGCATACTCGTATATACGTAATACGAGCTTATCATATTTTTTCGATAAATCATCCGTTTAATTTTATATAGAGAATAATCGATAAATTGATATTACATCTCAGCCTAATTTAAAAATGGTGATGGATACGAAAGTTTTTTAATTTACAGATTTTGGATACCACCAACAAACGTATTTCAAGTACTAGAGACTTGTGCTTTGTAATGCTCACACATTTCAGCCATACGAGCACGTCCTGAAAGTTTCACAAAGACAGTCCTACTATAAGAGAAAGTATACAACTAATAAATTCTCATAATATTGACCACACCGCACCACGGATGCATATGTGTGTAGTGTGCATAAAAGAAGTGAAGAATGATTAGAATATCAGCTTAGAGGGTTCAGGGTATCTCCTAGTCGAGCAGTCTCGACTAGAGCCTTTCTACATGTTTATACTCATTAAGGAAAGTGAAATGAGTATATTGGTTTTGACCATGACCGTCTTGATGTCCGTCCGTCTGTCCTTATAAACGCAATTTATTTCGGGACTCTTGAAGCTAGAGACTTAAAATTTAGAACACATACTCGATCCTGCCACTAGGAGCGTGTAAAATTTTATAAATTATTTAGTACATTAAAAAATGCAATGTAATTTTACCATTTTTAAGCGTAAGCACCACATATCTTCATGATAGTCATAGGGTTAAATCTGTGTACATTCCAGAGCACAAGTCTCTAGTACCTAAATTGGGTGTTAAAGGGTCGTGGTATCTGCAGTATGTAAATTACAAAATCTTAGTATTTAAATTGAGCTAAAAAAAAAAGAAATCAATTTATCGACTATTTTCGAAAAAAAAAAAAATTTAATGGGATCAGGCCCTGTTTTTTGCTGCGCGTTAAGCGGCCCATCCACTTGCGAACATTTTCACCGAACATGTTCGCCTAACATAATCAGTTTGCCCACCAACTGGGCAAACATTGTTCGCTGAACATAATTTTATAAAATTTTTCGAGAGGGAAACATGTCTTGAAAATGTTTCAATGACAGAGTATGAGCTTTCGTATGTGTTTGTAGGAAAAGACTTTCAATAAATTTAATGAAGCCATATAGTCGTCATTGTTGAACATATTCGCGCGAGCACGCGTAAAATATAAACATTTCTATTCTTCGCGAACACGGTCGGCGAACAAAATGTTAGGCGAGCACCACCATCCACATGAAAACATTTGACGAACACAAAATGTTCGGCGAACATGTTCCCAACTGGATGGGCCCCGTTAGAGACATGAAAATTACTCTATATACTCAGGTTCTGTGTAGAAGCGATCGGAAAAAAGAAATTGCTAAAATAACGGTACAGGTTCGTAAATATAGCAAAAAGAAAAGTTACCTAGAGGTTGTCAAAAGTATTTACACACATTTTTTTGCGTCATAAGTATTTACACAATGTAAATTTGCCTTTAGTCTTTGATTTGCGTTGATCATGTGCGGTCTTTGACTAAGGTCGGAATTCAATTTGTAGTTGAAATTGTAAATCTGCTGTAAAATGGTAAAAACAAAGGAACTGTCAGTCGAAACAAGCTCCGAGATCGTAACCAAGTTTAAGAATGGTGCTGGGGCATCAGAGTTGGTAAAGATGTACAAAATATCTAGAAAAACTGTGTATAACTTGGTTAAGAAAAGGGAAACACTGGGAAATTTGAATAATTTACACCGAAGTGGACGAAAGCCAGCATTGAACACCACAGAATGCAGAAGACTTGTCAGCACATTCGTAGAAAACCCCGAGATAAGCCCAGTTAAAGTGTTAGCAGTACCACAACAGATAATTGGTAAACATGTCAGTGATGCTAATATTCGTAGAAGGAAGATGTTGACATAAACACCTATGTCGTCCGAAAAATCATTGATATCTCGGAAACAAACAAAGCAGAACGCCTTGCTTTTGCTTTAGAGTACATTGAAAAGCCTTTGTTTTGTTTTGGCACAACATTTTGTGGACAGATGAGGTTGCATTTCAGTTTCAAGGCTCATTTCGAAAGACTATTATGCATTTCAGTCGACAAAATAAAAAAACTGCAGTGCAGCCTCTTAACAGGTTTGGAGGTGGCACAGTAATGTTTTGGGGTTGCATGTCGTACTATGGTTTTGGAGATTTTGTGCCAATAGAGGGCACTCTGACCCAATCACGATATTTGCACATATTAAATGACGATGCTTTTACTTCGGCGAACAAACTATTTTCAACAATCGACTGGGTATTGCAGCAAGATAATGCTCCATGCCACAAAGGCTCAATACCCACCAAATTTTTGGCGGACTTAGATCAAGCAATGCTGCCCTGGCCTGCGCAAAGTCCGGACTTTAAAATGATTGAAAATGTTTGGGCTTTAATAAAATCCAAACGGCTATTCAATAAGGACCGAA